GCGTGCACGAGCCCGTGTGCCATGTTAGTGTGTGCGCGTGCACGAGCAGGCGTGTCGTGTTAGTGTGCGCACGTGCACAAGCCCGTGTGTGTCGTGTTAGTGTGTGTGTGTGCATGAGCAGGCGTGTTGTGGGCACCAGAGGAAAGGAAGCAGGGAACTGGGCAGAGACTGGGGAGGTACCTGGCGGGAGACACAGGGTGGTCCCGGGGTCGGGGAGTCTCCACGGCAGGGTCCCGGTTCTCCCCACCTTCGGTTTCCCTTCCATCGCGGTGACTGAGCTGAGGTTGCGGCCATGGGCAGGCTGCATTCCTCCTCTCTCTGCTGGGCCGCAGCCGAGGGACTGAGGTCTGAGACTTGTCCTCACAGTGACCGGACAGGTCCACCCCAGCCTCTCCCCACTTCCCGCCCGCTGACCAGTGTGGAGTACCTGGGGGGTCAGCACGCACCCCGCCAGGTGGAAGTGACATCCAGAGCGTGGCTGAGGCGCTCGGCCTGTATTTTTCGTCCTCTGTGTTGGCTCGCTGCCCTGCCTGATGTAGCTTCCCTAGTGGTGTTTGTGAACGCTCTGCTCTGAAGGAGACAGGGAAGCAAGCCCTGGAGGTGTTGGGAGGAGGAAAGAGGGAAGTGTGTTCCAGCCCAGAAGAGTGACAGGTGCAAAGGCCCCGGGGTGGGGGCGAGCACTGGGTCCCGGAGCGAGCAGAGGGGTGAGGGGGACGGGTCTGCGGAGCAGAGGGGCTTGTGGAGGCTGTGTGAGGGGCCTGGAAGGACCCGGGCTGTGGGCAGAGGAGAGATATGGTTTATGTTTTCATTGACAGCTGTATGGATAGATGGTCAGAGAGGCCCCTTTGGAAGCCTTTGCGATAATCTGGCTGATAGATGACGTGGCTTAAATGAGGGTGCTGGGGGGGGGCGGTGAGGCATGGTCAGGTCTGCTGACCTGGGAGCTGGAGAGGAGCCTGCAGGTCGTCTGGTCTCGCTGCCCGGCCGCTGAAGGACCCCTCGGGCCCAGGCCTGATGGTGGCACTGAGCCCCGTGTTTCACTGGTCTTTCACATGTGGGACTCAGGTGTGGAGTCCGTTTCTCTTCTTTGTGGGAGGCCCCAGGCTGCTCCGTGTGTCTGGCGAGGCTTGTGGGACCAAACCCCGCGCCCACCGGGGCAGCCGTGCAGGTGTGTCCGGCACCTTGTTCTAGAGGTCCGTGCTCTTCGCAGGACCCACGCTTCAGACCGTGGGGCCCAGCCTTCCTGTGAAGATCATTTGCCCTGCATTTCCTCCTGTCGTACCATCAGGAATGCTGAGAGGGAAGACCTTGCCCCGAGGACGGCAGAGTTCCAGCAGCTCAGGGACCGCACGCCACCCCCAGGTGGCATCAGTCCTGTTCTGTGCTGGCCGGGGACGCACTGAGTTCTGAAGTCTCAGCATTTGATTCGGGTTTAACTAGTGAAGCCTGCGTAGCAGACAGCGCCAATTCACCTCCCCCAGGGACGCCTTCTCCGGGGTGGGTGAGGCCGGCGGCCGTCCTAGTCTTGTCCTTCTGGAATTCTCACCGGCCTGGTAAGTGAGGACGCCCGTGATTACTAGCTCTTTTCGTGTGTTGATTAGCCGTTCATGTTTACTCCTTCGTGAGTTGCTGTCGATTCTTCCTGTTGGGAACGAGTTTCTCTCGATTTGCACTACTAGTCTGTCACTGTGTGCTCATTTTTTCTAGCACCTTTTTTCCCCCTTTTGAAATAATTACGGATTCACAGGAAATTGCAAAGATAGC